CCATCCTCCTGCTTCAGCCTCCCAAATAGCTGGTACTATAGGCAACTCATCACAATGCCTGGCTAATTTTTCTATTTTTAGTAGAGACAGATTCTGCTCTTGTTCGGCTGGTCTCAAACTTGTGAAGTCAAGTGATCCTTCTGACTCAGCCTCCCAAAGTGCTAGGATTACCGGAGTGAGCCACTGCTCCAGGCCTCTTTCAACTTTTGAAAGCCAATTTAACTGACCTTATCAACAGCCTAAAGAAAAAAAAAAGCACATAATCATTTTAACAAAGATTTGACAAAATTCAACATTCTTGATAAAATCCTCCAGCAACCTAAGGGGAAACTTCCTCTACCTGATAAAAGACACCTACGAAAACAAAAACAAAACAAAACAACTCAGGGAAGATCATTCTCAATTGTGAACTATCGAATCCCCCCCCACTCCAATATTAGAAACAAAGCAAGGGTATCTGCTTTCACCATAACTATTTAACATTGTACTAGAGGTCCTGGCCAGTGTAATAGACTAGTCAAAAAATAATAAATTGGTACAAATGGTAAGGAATAAAAAAAAAAGTCTCTATTCCCAGATGACATAATTGTCTATATAGAAAATTCCAAAAAACTACCAAAAAAAGGTACTAGAACTAATAAGCCAGTTTAGCATCGTTGTAGGATATAAGGTCGGTCGGTATTCCACCTGTATTTCTTAGCCTAGAGTTTTTCTTTGCAACACAGTTCTCCAGGGGGTCCTGGACCAACCTTGTTCTTCCGCTTTCTCCTTTGCAGTTCTTGAGAATAACTGTAGAACTTTCTAGGAATACAACATCTGAAGCAACATCCGAAGATAGGGAGGAACTGACAGAACAGCTCGCCTCTGTTCCAGTCTTTCGGTAGAAACGGGATGCCCTTCAACACTTTACCCAGGTGGTCACAGTGTCCCTGAGGTATAAAACCCGTGGCAGGCTGCTTTCCAGGCCCCCTGCACTGCAGGGCGGGTGGGGCACACACAGATGAGATTCCAGCCACCCTGGGCACCTTCCCTAAGCCCAGGGGACTAGCTCACAATGAAGCCTAGGCTTCTGTTGTCTGTTACAGCCTGTCTGGAAGTAATAAACCCACTCCATGGGACTTGTATGGGGGCATCATTTATCAAATTAAGGTATTTTCTTTATACTTTTTGTTTGCTATGTATTTGAAAACTTCAGCGTATTAAGTACTTTTTTAACATCTTTTGAAGTGATCAGCATTTTTTTCTCCTTTGATCTTTTAAAGTTATGAATTTTATTAATAGATACGAATAGAACTGAAAGATTTAATAACAAAAGTGGTGAAACATTTTTATCTTACTAAGATAAATGGTACTAGTTCTAGAGTATATTTAATTTGCTAATGCTTTCTTTAAGATATTTACTTCTGGCTTGGCGCCTATAGCTCAACCGGCTAAAGCGCCAGCCACATACACCTAAGGTGGCGGGTTCGAATCCCCAGCCCGGACCCGCCAAACAACAATGACGGCTGCAACCAAAAAATAGCCGGGCGTTGTGG